TTGCTGCTCTGCTTCCTGTTTGTTTTCTTAATAATTTAGCGAGGAGAGGGCCAGGCCCTGGTCGGGCTCCCCTTGATGCCTTTGGCAGGTGTGTGTCCCCGTGGATCTGGGCCATGTGGATCGCACCTCTTCCTGCCGGCATCCCAGGCTGACCCTCCCCGGGGCCTGAGGGCCCTGCAGGACTGGAGGAGCAAGGCCAGGGCAAGAGAGCTGTGGCTGTTCCTGTGCCTTCAGGACTCCCACAGGCGGCCTCCCTTCCTTGTCATCTCTTGCTGCATGCCCATCTCTTCCCCATCTCTCAGGTTGCCTGACTACTCTGGCCAGAAGAAAAACAGGAGGTGTCCAGATGGCAGAGGCCCTGGACCGAAGCCTAGACTTCTGCTGGGCCGTCTGCATGAGTGTCACCCCTCCCACCTGCGTGTACCCCCAAAGGTGTCTGGAGCCTGGGGTCAGTGCCCAAAGGGTTCCTTCCAGGGAGCAGACAGAAGAGAGAATGGGAGAGCTGGTTGTGGCCTGGATTCCCCTGTCAGTTGCACACACACCTGAGCTGTGGGGGCGAGGTGGGGGGGCTCCAGGTCCTGGACGAGCACGAGCTGCGGGAAGAGGCAGCAGCAACAGGTTGCACTTTGGAGCCAGCTGAGAAGAGTGAAAACACATGGATGCCCGGACTTTCGAGTTCGCTGGGCGCCTCGAGCACCATTCCTGCCTGGCACCTGGGCCCTCACCACCTTCTGCCCTGCAGCCTGTGGTGCCAGCTTGCAGACACCTTCACCACAGGGCTCGGTTTTGCTGGCTGGAAGACGCCTCAGAGTTCCTGGAGACCCATCGCTTCAGTGGCTGCTGTAGCTTCACATAGCACTCTTTCTCCTCTTCAGGGCTAAAGTCAGCGTCTGTAGACAACAGACTGTTAAGGGAATCACCTCCTTAGCGGGAAATGGAAGGCATTTGATGCAGGTTTTGCATACGGACATAGAAATAATTTAAATACAGTGTTCTGAATGTTGGCAGACCACTTTGTTACAGCAAAACCGTGAATTGAAGGTATTTAATAAAATAACCTGTAAATGATCAAAAACAACAGCAACAATAAAAGTGAATGATTTTAGCCAAGTGCGATGGTGCGCACCCGTAATCCCAGCTACTCGCAGGAGGATTGCAAATCTGAGCCCAGCCCGGGCAATTTAGCAAGACCTGTCTCAAAAATAAAAAGGTTGGAGATGTAGCGCAGCACTCCCTGGGTTCAATCTCCAGTACTACCAAAAACATCAACAGAAACAGTGGGCCATGGCTGTAATCCCGGTACTCTGGAAGCCTGAGGCAGGAGGATCATGATTGTAGCCCAGCCTGGGCAAATCAGCCAATTTACAAGGTACTGTCTCAAAAAAAAAAAAAAAAAGCTGGGTACATAGCACAGTGTAAAGGCTCTGGGTTCTGTCCCTGGTACTGTGCAAAAACCAACCCCCTACCCCCCAAAAAACAGCTCATACATGGTTTAACCGTGTCTTAAAAACTGAAGTCACTTGTACTGACTCATGAAAGGGGCACCTTCCTCCCTGGCCTGTTGTTTCAGCTGAGCAGACCCTGCTCCTTTCCTGTTCTCCTGCTCTGTTCATCTATGTCCACCCTCAGCCCAGCCGGTGCACTTGCTGGGCGCTTGGCGAAGATCACTGGGAGCCCAGGTGTGTGGCCCACACCATGCCAGGCTGCCTCCAGTGCTGAAACTGAAACGCTGTTGCCTATTTCCAAGGACCACTTCCTGTCCCCATTCCTCTGCGAGGTGGTGCCTTGTATTTCTGAGGCTTTGCAACTCGTAAACCAAATATTGTCGGGAGTAAAACAATCCCAGCCACCGCTTCTGGATCCACACCATTAACCAGTCCCTTAAAGTGCCCTGTGTAGTGGCTGAAATGTCAGAAGCCCACGGAATTGCTTGACTTTGGTGAGGATCTCATTTTTTGGGGGGTACCAGGCATCAAAACTTGGGACCTTGTGCTTGCAAGACAGGTTGGCAGATCCACTGAGCTAAATCCCCGGCCCTTAGATCTCAATTATTGTGACGCTTGAATGATAACTTCATGGTAAAGTTTTAATTAGCACACGTTTGCAGTGCATCATGGTTATGTTCATTTCGAGTAGTGAATACACGTGTATAACACATCGTGGTTCTTTTTTGCTGCCCTCTCCCTCTCCCATGTCTTGGTCCACTTCCCATTGAGAACGACCTGTGTTCTTGTTTCCTGTTATCTATCTTTCATTTTGCTCTTTCATTGATTTATACTTTGGGTTTCTCATACGAGAGAAACTATGCATTATTCAAGTTTGTGTGCCTGATTTATTTCACTTAACATTAGGATCTCAAGGTGTCTCCACTTCCCCGCGGGCATCTTCAATTTATCCTTCTTTATAGCAGTAGTGCTCCATTGTGTATCATCAGTAGCACATTTTCTTTATCCATTCTGAATGATAGCATACTTGGTGTGGTGGCCTACGTCTGTCATCCCAGCACTCAGGAGGCTGAGGCAGGTGGATGAAGAGTGGGCTCTGTGGTGAAACCGTCTCCAAAGAAAACAACAACAATAAATATGATGTTCTTTGTTTCTATTGTTGTTGGACTGTGAAATCCAGCAAAACACTCCACCTGCATCGTAGGCCAGGCAGGCCAGGGTTAGGTGGCGAGGGAAGCAGAGAGCCTTTGTTTAGAGAGTGGAGGTGAACGTGGTTCCAGAGACAGAAGCTCAGCCTAAGAGGTGTCCTGTGTTTGTGGCCAGGGTGTTGTTAGAGTGACTCCAGCAGGCCGGAAGTTGTTGAGTCTTTTCCGGAGCCGACCTTCCTCTTTCCATCTTATTTCCTCCAACCTTTAACTTAGAGGTCAGATGGGGCTGAGCTAGTTTAATCAAGAAACTGATAGCATCAAAACGTCAATTGTTGGGGATTTTTTTTCTTGACTTCCTGGTGTTCTGCTGGAAGTTTAGAACCTTCTCTTTCCAGGTTCTTTGACTTCCTCCTTCTCCCACTTATATTTATGTCTTTGCTTATCCATTTAATGGAGGAAATGTGCTTTCCTGAGAATGCAGAAAAGGCACTGTTTGGAAGAGGTGAGAATATAAATTAAAAATGGATTGGCAAAGAAACACTGCTTTATCTCGCCAAGAGTTGTTGACAAAATCAGACACAGAAGTGCATTGTGCACATGTGGGGCTGATAGCAGATCCCCCCCACCCCGTACCGGGGATTGAACTCAGGACCTTGCCTTTCTGAGCCAGGAGACCTGGGCTGGGGTTAAGAAGTCCTGCCTATGAGCTGGGTATGCTGTCATGCACCTGTATGTAATCCCAGCACTCTGGGAGGCTGAAGCAGGAGGAACCCCAAGTGTGAGCCCAGCCCAGACAACTTCGTGACTTATTAAGACTTTGTCTCAATTTAATAATTAAAAGAAAAGAGATGGGGTCGGGGCTGGAGATGTAGCTCAGTGTGAGCCCCTGGGCTCAGTCCCCAGTGCCACCCAAAAACACCCTTCTGCGTGATGGTGCTTGTGGCTTGTGAGCCCCTTTGCGGAACCTGTGCAGTGGACGGTGGGGAAGCCAGTGACTGTGAAGTGGTTCATCACCAGGCCGGGCCCTTGACGTTGAGCTGGGGGAGCCCCGTGCACTAAAGGAAGAGGCCCTGACACCCTAATGCCCAGGAATGCAGAGCCCTGGGTACTGCAGTGCCCCCAGGAAATCCTTCTTTGGTACCGCTTTTCCCAGGCTTTGACTTAGGAGGGACCTAGGTAATGCTGGACATTTGGGGTGACTTTCATGGAAACGATGACAGCAAAGCGATTTCTCCCTTTATTTTCTAGAGCTTTGTGGGGATTTTTAAAGATAGCCTGTTTGTTTGTTTGTTTGTTTATATGATGGAGGTGGGGGAAGCAACAATCTTGGTTTAGTTTCTACCAGTCATTTTCTTTCCCTTCCTTTGCCCGTGACATCGGGACGCCCTCCAAGCTGACAGTTCTGATCCTGGCCTCCTCCTCCCAGATGATCAAATGGGCTGAGCGTCCCTCACCCTTTGAAGTGCCTGTGTGATGGGAAACAGCCATCTGAACTTGTTTCTCCTGCTCCCACACGTCAGGGAAATAGGCAAATCTGTCCGCAGCACAGAGAGCTGTGTTTGAACTTCTCAGAAGCCCTTATCTGAGTTCCTGAGAAAAGCCGAGCGCATAGCCAGTGCTCCGCAGACTGGCACCCCACCCCCTCCTTCCTCCCAGGGGCCAGGAGCACAAGGTGGTTTTGTCCCAAGGCAGCAGAGGCCTGCATGGAGCCTTTGCCCTGGGTGCTCCTGGCGTCTGTCGTTCGTTCCTTTGTCCCTTTGTCCCACAGCCCAGCAGCGCACACCCTGCCCTGAGCGTGCTCTACCACAGCACCCTGGGGCCGGCCCAGCACCTTCCTGCCAGACTTCCTCCTGGACCGAGCTTTTTGTGAGTCGTTCTTAGCCTGCTGTTTTAAAAGAGCTATATTTAAACTGGAAGCGGAGAAAAGGATCTTCCTCAGATTCTTCCTCGTCAAGCTATTTTGATTGCTAGCTGCCCCCTTTCGTCACCCTGACTTCATTTCATCAGATCCATGCCCTACACGAGGCTGGGGTAGTCAGTAGGGTTATGTGTTTGTAGGAGACGAGAGGAAAAGATGTTGAGCTAGTTCTTCTTCTTTTTGTTTGAGACAGGGTCTCATTCTGTAGACCAGGCCCACACTGAACTTGCTAGGTGCCCCAGGCTGACCTCAGACTCGCAATCCTCCTGCCTCAGCCTCTGTTGAGTGCTGGGATTACAGGCGTTCAGTGACACTATGCTCGGCGTAGTGCTACTACATGCTGTGTGTGTAGCAAGCACAACATTTAAAAGGCCTGAAAACGTGGGCAATAGAAAGCAGTTCGTTAACCAGGCTGGTCGCCCCTCGGAGTATTGCTGACCACTGACCCCTGTGTTCTTCTCTCTGTCCTAGGAAACATTCATGGACTCTTACACATTTTCAGCAGTTTTGTGGGGTTAAAATTTACATATCAGAATTTGGGCCTACTTTCAGTATACAACTCAAAGATCTTCCTGGTAAGTTGAGGGCTGTTTAACTATCATCACAATCTAGTTTCAAATTACTTCCATTTCTCTAAAAAGACCCAGTCGCTCCTACCCTTTGTTCCCACCCCAGCCCCAGGCAGCCTGGGCTCTGGAGATTTATGCTCTGGATAAAGCCTTTTCTCTGTATGAAATATGAACAAACTCTCTGTAGAAGGCTGGCCTCAAACTCGGCAGCAGTCTTCCTGCCTCAGCCTCCTGAGTACCGGGATTAGAAGCATGTGCCACCATACCTGGCTTGTAAAATGTTTTGAGGTTCATCCGTGTTGTAGCAAGTTTCAACATATTGTTTTCCTTGGCACTAAATAATATTCCCTTGTTATAGATTATCATATCTGCATTAATCAGTTGAACATTTGGTTTATTTTTGCTTGGCTATTATTTTTTGGCTATGAACAGATACATAAAAGTCTTTGAGTGGACGTGTTCTCATTTGTCTTGGGGAAATACTAATGATTTAAGTTGCTGGGTTTATTAGAGGGAGCTTTGGATGGATTGTATGCTAAATTTATGCTTACTTTTTTTTTTTTTGGTACCAGGGATTGAACTCGGGACCTTGTGCTTTCGAGGCAGGTGGTGGTAACACCGGGCTAAATCCCTGGCCATTATTCTTAAACTTTTAAGAAATTTCCAAAATGCTCTCCACACTGGTGGCACCAGTTTATATTCCCATCAGCCACCAGGAGTGTATGAGATTCTACTTTGTTCGCATTGTTGATAATAGTTCTTATCTCTTATTATAGCTGTTACAGTGGATATGAAATATATCTCATCATGAATATAATTTGCATTTCCTAATGATGAATGATGTTGAGTGTCTTTTCATGTGCTTACCAACCATCTGTATATCTTCGGAAATTAAAATTCTATTGTCAGTTTTATTTTTTATTATCTTTTTTTTTTTTTCCAGAGTTTTGCTTTTTGAGGCAGGGTCTTACTTTGTAGTCCAGACTGGTCTTGAACTCACTGTGTAGTCCTCCAGGCTGGCTTCCAACTTGTGGCGATCCTCCTGCCTCAGCCTCCTGAGTGCTAGGATCACAGGTATGCACCCCCACACCTGCCCGTCTGTTGTCTGTTTTAAGACATGAAGGTAGCAGCTGACATACATTTCCCTTCACTTCTATTCCTTCTCCTGCCAATTTTTTGTTTGTATTATTTTGGCATTTTCAAGACTTACACTTTACAGCTATTATGATTATTTTAGATGAGACTGGACATGTTCAGGGTGGTATGGCTGTAGACTTTATGATTATTTTAGCCTTCTTTGGATATAAAGTCTATAATTGTTTTTTGTCATTTTACTACTTACCTCTTATTTTGCTGAATTTTGTCTTGCTAGTTTCTCCAAGAAGGGCTTGGATAGCAGTTCTTTGACGTATTGCCTGTTTAAAACATTTGGTTGTTTATATTTGAATGAAAGTTTAGCTTAAAATTTTGAATCTTTTATTTTCTCTGAGTATGTTTTTCTTTTCCTCCCCCAAAGCAGAGATCGAACTCAGGATCCTGTGCTTGTGAGGCAGGCACGTCGCCACTGAGCCAAATCCCTAGCCCTTCAGAGGACATTTTTTGATGTTTACACTGCCCCCACCCCCACTCCCATTTCTGGTGGTCCTGGGAGTTGAAGCCAGGGCTCTGAGCCACATCCCCTTTTCACTTTTCATTTTTAGACAGGGTCTTGCTAAACTGCTAAGTTGTCCAGCCTGGCCTGGAACTTGAGATCCTCCCGCCTCAGCCTCCCAGAGTGCTGGGATTGTAGGTGTGCGTCCCCGTGCTTGGCTGTATTTCCTTTTGGCCGCTTCTACTTTGGTCCACGTGTTGGAGCTGTGGGTTGAATATCCTTTATCTGAAATGCCTAGGACCACAAGTGGTTTGGATTTTGGATTTCTTGTATAGTGGAATATTTGTACACACCACGAGACTTCCTGGGGGTGGACAGCTCACTGATGTTCCGTGAACTCCTGCATAAAGCCGGGAGGTTATTTTAGGCAGTATTTTTATTATGCCTGTGTTTGGTTTGCCACCCATCACAGCAGGTCAGGTATGGAGTTCTCCATGTGTGACGTCTTGTTGGTGTTCATACAATTTTGGATTTGGGAGCACTTTTAGATTTTAGGTTTTTGATTAAGAATGCCCAGGGCTGGGGATTTGGCTCAGTGGTTCTGCTGCCTGCCTTGCAAGCGCAAGGGCCCGAGTTCGATCCCTGGTACTAAAAACAAAATAAAACAAAAAAGAATGCTCCTCCGCCTGTATTTTTGTTCATCCTTCTCTTTTTATGCCCCTAAGATCAGCTCTCATGGTGTGTTTCCCGCTGATGTCTTTTGGAGCTTCCTTGAACTCATAAATCCTGCTGTGTTTTTGTTTATAGAAATCAGTTACTAAGTTTTGGGAATTTATGACAACATGCTTCAGCAAAATTGTAATCTGTTGCGTGAGACATTTGTGTGATGGGTGTTCATCTGTCTTTGTTTGCCTGTTTGTTATTGCAGACAGGGTCTCGCTGTGTAGTTCAGTCTGGCCTTGAATTCACTGTGCAGCCCAGGCGTCTTCCTCCTGCCTCAGCCTCCCAGTTCTGGGAGTACAGGTGTGCACTGCCACTTGGGCCTAGTGCCCTCGTCTGTTTTCCTTGTTTTCTTCTCGGCAGCATCTTGTGAAGGTTTAGGAATTCTTTGTCTTCTTGCTATATTGGTATTAGCCCGGCACAGGCTGCAAACACGGCCCTGTCTCAGGCTAGCGTTCGTGTGACTGCAGGCATCAGTAGGGGGATCAGCCCTTGCTTTTCTCTCACGTGCTGAGCCTTGGGCTGGATGCTGGTGGCATCCTAAGCCATCTGTCTTGTTCCTGTTGTCCCAGCAGTAGTCGGCTTCCTCCCAGCCTGGCCTGCTGAGGCTCCTCATTTCCTCCCTCCTGTGCCCGGGCCTCTGCTCTTGCTCCTGCTCCTCGGCACACCTGTCCCTGCTGTTGTGAGAAAGTCATCCCCGGCTGGTTGTTGGGGTGCTGTATGGGTTTGGGGAGCCGGCTTGCTCCTCCCCATCTGACCTGCAGTGCAGTTGGCAGCTCTTTCTCACAGCCTGCAGTCGTGGGTCACAGATGTTTTCTAGTTTCCTCGGGGAAGGACTCTGCGTTTTTTGGTGTATGTTCCTTATTGCTTTTGGGTGTATTTCAAGAGGAAGTCGTTAAGCCAGGATATTATGACAAGACAACTCTAGTTTTTAACTTTTTCTCTGCCAGTTAAAAATGTTGTATTTCGCTGTTTTGTCTGTGCATGTGTATGGGGATTGAACCCAGGGCCTTCACACTGAGGTATATCCCCAACACCTTTTTTACTTTTTTCCTTTGAAACAGGGTCTCCATAAGTTTCCCAGACTGGGAAATTTAAATTCAGCTTTAGCCTCCTAGACGGCTGAGTCTGCAGGCCTGAGCCACCATACTGAAGCCATCTAGGTTATTTTGACTCCTTAAGGCTTCACAGGTTGGAGCTTGAAGGGAGCTTGGAGGGAAAGTGACAGCAGAGCACAGGTGAGCTCAGATTTGTACTCAGGAAGGCTTTTTGCAGACGTGTTTATTTTGAAGGCAGCGCTATTGTTGCTTAGCAGTTACCACGTCAAGCATCAATAGCGGTCGCCTAGTTATGACTTACAGCCTTCCCGTGATGTTCCCTGGCATCCTAAGGATGCCCGGCTCAAGACTTGTGGTTGGATTTATGTTTGAATTAAACAGAGCTCTCCATGCCCAGCCACAGTCCGTATGCAAATATGGAAACAGCGTGAGGCACGTGGCGAGACTTCTGTACCCCGAAGTAGAAGTAATACAGGTAGCAAGGCCGTTGAGGGCTACGGAAAAAGAGAAGTCAGGGTACCAAATCTGTTACTGACTCAGATTCTTAAACGCCAAGGTGCCAAGAACTAAATGGAATGTGCAACTGGGGATTTAGGTGAGAGGGAAGAAGAGGCTGAGCTCGCAGGCGGAGTGGCCTCGTTGGTTGTTAGTAGGACAGACATGAGGTGTTTGTAGGAGGGGCTGTAGCCCCTTTGGGTGGAGGTGACAAGGACTGAAGGCCCCTCCCCGCCTGCCCGCTGGGCACAAAGCCCAGGCTGGCCCCTGCTTCTTTGAGCTGGAGCAGCAGGAGGTTGTATGGTTCAGGTCTGAATGGGCCCGTAGCCTCCTGTGTTTGGAAGGTGCCTGCATTACGGGGCTTGTAGCTGACTGTCTTAGATGGGGCCTGGCTGGAGGAGGAGGTCACTGGAGGTGTGGCCTGGAAGGGTTTGTCTCTTTCCCAGCTCCTCCTTTCACTCTCTGCCATGAGGTGAGCAGCTTTTCCTCCGCCAGGCCTCTGTGCTGTGCTGTCCTGCCCTGTAGCCAGCCGACTAGGAACTGAACTATGAGACAAAATAAACCTCTCATCTTTTTTGTCTGTGACTTGCACTCTAACGTTTTGGCCATTTTTTAAAGATTATGGTATACCGTGTATTAACTAATGTTATTCTTTAATTAATTTGTTAAGAAATTTTGCTTTATTTTTTTTCATAGAAGTAAGAAGACTTTAAAAAATATTTCCTTTATTAATATCTATTCGTATGACATTGAAAAATAAACCTCTCCTCCTTTAAGTTGTGGGTGTCCGGTCTTTCATGCCACCAGTGAGAAAAGACAGAGGCAGAGTGACACTGCCCAGCGTCCAGGATGCAGAGAGGACCTGTCCCCTCTTGGGGGAGGCACAGGGAATAGGGGGCCAGTAGAGGGCCAGGGAGGGCTCCTGAAATAGGAAAAACGTGTGCAGAGGAGTCTGGGAATGGGAAGGCCCACTTGACTGATGGAATACTTTTCTCCGGAGGTCGCATTTATTTTTAACCATTGGACAACAAACAGAAAAGATTTATGGAAGTAATTCTGCCTGGTTTATGGAGTTGATTGTGAACACAACTGACTTCAGGACGAATACCACCCCACCTCCCTTTGATTCGCCGAGCATTGTCCGTGGCATTGTGCTTGGTGCAGTGGCCTCAGTCTGGTCTGGTCTCTGAGGATCCCTGCGAGTTCACCGAAGTCTAGGTGGTCACACAGCTGTGCAGGGCTGCCATAGGTTCATAGTGAGCCCTTATTTATTTAGGGCAGTGTCAGGAGGATACCGGCACAGGGCTGTGGACTCACTGGCTTCTCAGCAAGGCTGGCCCTCAGCTGGCCTTGCCACCCAGCAGAGTGCCCGCCGCTGCCAGCTCTGGACAGCTGTGGGGAGGTGGGCGTGGGAGAAATGAGCAGCCGGCGTTTCCTAGACAGCGCTCCAGGGAGGGCACTGCCCGGGAAGTCCCTGTGGCGCCAGGGTTTCCAGCTTTGTGTCTGTGCTGCGGACATCGGGGGTCCCCCGGGAGGACAGAGTGGGTCTCCATAAGGAAGACATCGGCGGTGGGGTGGGGAGGGCTTCTGGGGACCCAGCCCCTCAGGATCCGGAGAGATTTGGTGAGAAAACCCTCCTCCTGAGATTCACAGAGAGCCAGAGGGTGACTTGTCTCAGAGGTGTCAGACTCACGCTGAGCTCTGGACCTTGCACCGGGTGACACTGTGGTGCCCCCACCCTGGGCGTCTCTCTTCTGTTCCCCTTCCCATCTTCTTCATGTCCACTTTCCCTCGGCACTGGGCGGGCGCCATGGTTCTTCTGCTTTCTCCACATCACTGTCACCCTCACATTTGTCCACTGCCTCCCGAGCATCCAAGTGTCCTTTTATAACCCCAGACCCTCAGGGCCCCTCACGCCCAGCCTCCTGCTTCCTCCCCTCTGCCCTTACTGAAACCTGGGGCTGTCACTTTAGCTACCATTTATGACATCAGGTTAATTTTCCACAGAAGTTTCCATCACCTCTGCCCATTATCCCCTCAAGTATAAAATTGCTGTGATCACTTTGAACCTGGAGACCCCCAGCCTACACTTCCATCTCTTTTCTTTTTGTTTTTTGAGACACTGTGTAGTTGAGACTGACATAGAACTCGCCACGTAGCCCAGGCTGGTCTCGAACTCACAGCGATCCTCCTGCCTCAGCCTCCCGAGAGCTGGGATTATAGGCGTGTGCTCCATCTCTTTTCCATATTACCACTCATCCTTGGTTCGTTTTCCTGCAGTTTTCCTTCACAGCCTCCACTGGTGAGACTAGATTTCTCTGCGATCTGATTTCCTCAGTCCTTTCAGTAATGTGGCGTTCACTCTTCAGCCTTAAATCTTGCTCTCCTTCCCATGTGCCACCTTCTTTCTGTCCCATCACATCCTCAGTGCTGTCCCACATCCCTGGAATGCCCATTCCTGTGTGCCTCGTGTGTCTTTCCAGTAATTAACTCGGCCTCTGACATCAAGCTGTTTCAGTCCCTCCTGCCTAGGCAGATGCTGAATTGCGAAGAAAACTCCAGCTAAGGGGCCTCCTCGGGCGCTCACGCAACCATGGGAAAGGTGTGCAGGCACCCCAGGTGGGCACCAGGGGCTGGCTTTGAGCTGGAGCACAGAGGAGACGGCAGCTGGTGTCTGCCCTCGTGGCCAGGATGTGACATTGATCTGAGGTTTAAAGCAATGACAGGAAGAGGCAAAGCCTTCTGCCGGGGAGAGTGCCTATGTGAAGGCCTGGTGAGGGGTGCAGGTGGTGGGAGGACAGAGGGAGGGCAGGTGTCCTGAGGGATCAAAGAGGATTGTTTTATTTTTAGGGAAAAACAGTACCTCTGTTGGTCTTATACTAGGTGTGCTTGAAAAATATGATAAAGGTTTTTTTTTTAGTACTGGGGATTGAACTCAGGACCTTGTGCTTGAGTCAGGCGGTGGCACCACTGAGCTAAATCCCCGGCCCCGTGAAGGTTTAAATAAAATTTTTATTATATTAGAAGACACATTGCTATTAATCCCCTTCAAAGTACCCCTCGCTTTGAACGCACTCGTCCCATCTCTGTTGCCGCTTTCTGAAGCAGTTCTGGAGTCCTCTTTCGTGTGTGTCTTCATGGCTGCCTGGTATCAGTTCAAAACATTTACCTTTTATGGTCAAGGACAAGAGCCATGAGTTGCGCAGTACCTGTTCTGGTGGATGAAGACCTGCTCATGTTTTTATGAGCCTCCTTTTCCACTGGATAGCACTCAGCGGTTGCATTCACCATATATGTTTATCAGACCTCATAAGGGTTCTTAGGAAAGAGGACTCCCAGAGCGGCTTCAGAATGTGGCAAGAGTTACGGGACAAGTGTGTTTGGAGTGAGGGAGAATTTTGAGGGAGCAGTGTCTTCTTCTGTAATAAATATTAAAAAAAAAAACACTCAACTGTGTATTTTATCACCTCCTGTAGTTCATAGAATGGCTTTTTCAGAAAGAGGAGCAGCTGGAGGGGTGGGTGGTAGGGAAGAGATGAAGTGGGAAGTTAAAATAGAGACAAGTATAGAAATGAATGGGAAGGAGAGAGAGAGAGAGAGAGAGACAGAGAGAGAGAGAGAGAGAGGGGCCTACCTTATGTTGTTGGTGTCTGTGTGAGTGTGTCTGGTCCTCCATCAGATGATGCCCGGGAGAGCCACAATGTGTGTACTATCCATTCATCTTCACAACACCCACATTACCAGCAGGTTACTATGTCCACAGAAGGTGATTAGTGGGTGCTAATGAGAGAGCCTAGGCCCTGTTTATCATCTTCCCAGAGTGTAAAAAGTAATGCCTGGCTCCTAATAATATGCGGAACACAACCAAGTCTCTAATATGAGTCGTTAGGAGCTGACTGTGAAGCTAGAAAAGATTAAAATGTGCAGTAGTATGCAAAGCTATGCAAATGAAAAGTATGCAAAAATGTCTGCATTCTGTGACTGCCTGAAGGTGACTTTGTAAGGGAAGGAAGTGGAGGTCAGGCATGTGTGGAGAGCTTCTTCCTGGTGTGTGCCTTGAGGAAGTTCCCCCAACGAAGGAAGATGAAAGAGCTACCTAAGTGGTTTTTGAAAAAGGAGTCTTCTCCTAATGTGCTTTTCTTTTCCGCAGGTGTTACTTGAGCCGCTTCCGCCATGGGAGAAATAGAGCAGAAGCCCACCCCAGGATCTCGCCTGGGGGCCCCCGAGAATTCAGGGATCAGCACCTTGGAGCGTGGACAGAAGGCGCCCTCAACACCTTCAGGAAAACTTATGTCCATCAAAATCCAGATGCTGGATGACACCCAGGAAGCATTTGAAGTCCCAGTAAGTCGTGGCTTTCTGTGTCTGTGGACCCAAGGGTGTGGGCCGCCCCCACGTGGGAAGGTCCACCTCACTCCCATGCCCCCCTGACAGTCAGTGGCTCAGAGGGTCTGTGTGTCTGGCTCTTCCCTCCCCCTGCTCACCACGTGCCACCTACCCACTCTGCTTCAGAGCCGTCCAGTTCTCAGATTGATGCGTGACCCACCCACCAAGTGGTATCGGTGGCCTCGGCGCTTGAGGTTTATTGTGACTCCCCATAGGCAAATACATGTTACCCGGGTGTGAATGTGTGTGCGTGTCTGTAGTGACTCATCTAAATTGTATCCTCCAGCGTGTATGCCTTCATGATACAGTGTATATCAGACATGTGGTACACATGTATAAGTCTATGCATAATAGATGCAGTAAGACACATTGCCGTCCGTCCCCTCCTTACCGTGGACGCACTTGCTCACCACTCCCGTCGCTTTCTGAAGCAGTTCTGGAAGTCCTCTTTCGTGGGTGTCTTTAGTTGAGGTGTCATGGCTGCCTCACTGCCTCAGAGTGTTTATTTTACCTGCCATGGTCGTTTTGACTTTGGGCAAGAGCCAGAAGTTGCAGAGTGCCGTGTACTTGTGTTTGAAGTAGAGAGAAGAGTGGTCTTCTGGATGGATTCCAGTTTAATTTGCTAACATCACCAGCAGTTTCTCTCTTACACTGCGGTATATGTGTCCCTACTTCACTCATGTCTAGATCAATGGCAAAAAAAATCCCAAGAAAACCTCAACTAGCAGTCCGTGTGTTTTCATGCCAGGAAATGAAGTGGGACCACGTTCACGGCCCCAGAGGGCTGACTGAAGCCACCAGTGTGGTGGCCCTGGAAGAGAGGCCTGCTGTTCCAGGCGTCAGGGAAGGGACTGTGCTGAGCAGAGAAGGAGCTGTGGCTCTCCCCAGTTAGCAGAGCCCAGCATGACTGGTTCCCAGGCCAGAAGGTGCCCTGAGTGCACTTTCTTCCAGGACCACCCTCCTTGACCTTGGCTAGGCCCCCAGAATGTTCCATACACCTCAGATTGGGTCTTTTGTGTTCTGTCTTGGTACCAAATACTGCACGGAACTAACATGATTAATGGAGGAAGAAAATAACTCGAATTCCAAGCAGCCAACTTGTGAGCAGACTTTGAGAACACACCTGTTTTTTAACATGAGGACAATCTGTCCATTATTCCTGTTGGCTTGACTGACTGAAATTTAATAGTTGGCATTAACAGTGGTAACCCATTATTTAATCATTTATGGGATATGATTCAGTAAATTATATTTATTTCAAAGAACATTGTTCAGAGAGTGTGAATTAAGTGTCTCAGAGAAAGATAAAGCTCAGAATAGCTATGTTTAAAACTGCCAATTTATGCTACACTGCAAACAACCTCTTTGGCTTTCTAATTTTCTCACTGTGGGATTCGTATCTTTCAAGGGTGTGGGGAGGCCTTCGTTGGTCAGTGAACAAAGCAGCCCTGATGTCTGGAACTGTAAAATACCTTGAGGAAAGCACCTGCTGTACCCTGAGAATGAGGCCTTCTGGACCGTGTGGGCCTCTGGTCTGTCCATCCCCTCCTCCAGGGTTTTTCTTCCTTGCCAGACTGGTTGGGTGAGGTTTCAGTTTCAGTGTTTCCCCTTTGGTCCTGGTGAGGAGGACCTCTGATCCTAGCCTGTAGCAAGCAAGGTATTCTTTTTAATGGTGTTGCTGTTCAGGGTTTGGATCAAGCTCTCAGATGCTGCCCTGTGTGCTCACCGTGAGATCATGGTACTGCGTTCAGCTGCAGTTCTTTACGTCGAGACTCTGTCCCTGTCTGGGTTTAGCAAGGACCTGTATGATAGAGTCCTGTCTGCCTGAGAGGTATAGAATTGTGTTTTCATCCTTTCAAATGATTTTCTTTCACCGTCTCTGATGGTTGTACTTTGAACTTTTAGGCCCTCTGTCTAGAAGGAACCTTTCTAACCGCCCCCCCGCCATAAACTCCTGGGCACCCATAAAGATCTTAGTTTTACCCAGAGGCCTCCTTTCCCCAGGCAGTGGCTGGACTCCTTTTACCTATGCACTTATCGGGACAGAGCTGGACTGCCTGGATTATTCACATCCCAGGTTCTCCTACCAACAGACACTTCCTTAACTTCCCCGATCTGCTTTCTCCTCCATAAAATGAGGATCATAATAAACCCTACTTTGTACTACCTGAGCATAAAAGAGTTAATACAAAAGAAGCATCTAGAGCAATTTTGGCACACGAGGAGTGTAATACACAAGATGAGTGGCACCCGTGAGCTCTGCTGTGGCACTGCTGGCTTTCCCTGTAGTCAGAAGGGACCTTCCTTATCACCCTGTCTTCTCTACATCTAGCAAGGCACCTTGCAGAGTAGTTATTGAAAGTTTGCTGAGTGATTGTTAGAGCGAGTTAATTTCACAAGTAGAAGTTCATGCCATTGTATGTTAGTTTAGACATGTTCCCTCTATTCATATTTCATTTTTATTCCTCTAGTTTGGCCAGAATGCTCTCTCTCAATCCCCGGGCAACACATGTTTTCCCTAACTGGCTGCAGAAAGCCTGATATCAGCATTTCTGTTGATGGGGCTGACTGTAAATTGTTGCCTTGTATTCTTTAAGAAGGCTCCGCCAGGCCATCCGCAGCTGGAAGCCATCAGGGCTGCGGTGACTCAGGCATCCTGCTGGGGCTGGAGGACAGGGACTGAGGATCACAGAGACCCAGCGCCTGAACTGCATAAAAATCTTGCTCCAAAGCTTTCCCCCAAGGCCAGATGTCTGACCCTGGAAGTGTCCCCCCTGCCTGCCTGTGAATTCTTTGGCATTGCAGATAAGCGGGGCGTGGGGCCAGAAGTTTCCTTTTGAGGTCACTCTCCTGTGAGCCCTGTCTGTCCCTGGGAATTGAGTTTCCTGGGCCTTTTATGAATCTGTTGGTTTTGCAATACAAATGCAGGCAAAACGCTCATTTTAAATGCAAATTTCCTGACTGTCCTGGGCACCCAGAAGCCAGCCTACTCCTTCTCCGAGGTTGTTGCCCTCATCATTTATAGCCTTAGGAAAAGTTATTCTGAAGCTTTAACCTTTGTGAAAGCCAGGGCCATGAGGTCTCTTCCATCCCGTAGTTTCCTGTATGACCACCTTTACTGTTGAACTTGGAGGGTCCCTGTAGCTCTTTCCCCTGCACAGGGAGGTTTAAAAACAGTAAGTTCTTTCCTGGTGTTTGATCATCTTTATGTGGAAAACGCTGTGCACATCAGCCGTCCCTGTGGTCTGATGAACGCGGCTTTCTCTCTCCGCTGAGGTTATAAAGCAGAGTGACTTCGGGTCTCCGAGAGAGTTAAGGACACCTCCTCCTGCCAGGCCAGCTCCCCTGAAGGTCCTTGAGTTGATTTTATGTGTCGGTCTTCGTGACCCCCGGTAAAGGAGGAGCAGATGGTCACCTCTCCAAGTGTTTATTCCTCTCCTTGGCTGAGAAGGGAGAGGAGACAAAGTGCAGCCACTTTTTGCCTCTCTTGACTGCCCCGGAAGCTGCAGGGGGACGAGATACTGCATCTGTTGAAGGGTGAGCAGCAGAGGTGGTGTCAGGCAGGTGCACAGGGCCTTAGCCCTCATGGGGCTTTTCTTAAATTCCTGTTCTGTCTTCCTTTCTTCAGAAGCTTCCGTGGCTCTCTGAGCTGGTTCAGCTGGCATCCTTTGTTCCTGGGTAAAGCATGGGTTTCTTAGTTCTGGGCACAAAGAACCAAACCGAACTCCTCCTCCTAGGAGAGCCTGTGCCTTCTCCTAGGAGAGCCTGTGCCTTCGCCAAGGAGCTGCTGGGTACTCTCGGAGAGGTGAGCCACCAGGGCTGCTGTTCCCAGCCTCCGCACGGGGTATTTGAGCTTCTGCATGTTAGCGCCTCATGCTGGAAGAGTCACTGAGCTGTTTGCTGCTAGGTTTGGCCTCTAGCAGGTCACCTAGAAGCTCTCTGGGGGCAGGGTCTGTTTTCTTTTTGTTCATTGTTACGGTTTGAGTCTAGCTGTCCCCCAAAGCCTCCTGTGGTCATAGGCTGGATCTAGAGTGTGTAAAGCAGGAATGGATTCATAGTACTAGGTTCAAAGGTACTCGGACTAAGGGTGTGAGTACTCCCTGCCCTGAGTAATCTGAATAAGATGTGAGGGTCAGGGGGACACTGTTAAGTCCTCTTGTTACCTTTGCTGCCTCGTGTGCGCCACGTTGTTTCTTCTCTAAGATGCTTCTCTGCCATCTCAGCCTCGGACCCAGCCGATCTACAAGCTGTAAACTAAATGAACCCCTTTCCCTTCAACTTCAGGGTCAGGTATTCTGTCTCAGCCACGAGAGAAAAGTAACTAACACATTCATCCTCACTGCCTTCGCCAGCACAAGGCCTGGTAGCCACGAGCAGTGTGTGTGCCCAACTGGCCATACCCTGTCATTCACAAGACTTGACCTGTGGTTGATGCCATCCCTGTGTACAGATTAAAGATCCACAGGAAATGCCTTCCAGCCCCTTCCTCAGGGTGCAGGGAGTTGAGGTCAGGCTGGCATCAGAACCCAGCCTGCAGGGCCCCTCAACCTCCTATCCTCCCACACCGAGCCACCACCCCCTGTGAGACACGGGCTTCCGTGTGGATCAAGAAGTCCCCACTTCAGCTGGCTCCCCAGGACCCCATGTTCCCAGCTCCATGCTGCTCTGGCTTTTGTCTGCTTCTGAACCCCACTCAGCCCTCACCCCTATCCAAGTCCACCGAGCCCCTGGCTATCTGTCCTCTAATTAGGCTTTGCATCCATTGAAGTCACCAGTCGTTTCTCACTAACAAGTTCCTTCGCGTCTCTGCTGCCCAGACCAGACTCTTTCCTTATCAGCAAAATGAGTGTCTGGTCAGGACGATCATCCAGGCTTTTCCCTCCCTTTCCTTTTTTGGAAGTTGAAACCCTGTGTTGGCATCCTTGTTAATGGTGGAGCTTTTTGTGATGGTGTTTGGG